ATTTTATGGAATATATTTGTTATTTATGTTTGGAGAAAAAAATTGTTTAAATAAAAGTTACTTCTTATATTATTATCTATAATTTCTACTTTATGTCAAAATTTCCTGAAATGATCCGTATTCGAGAAATTTGACAAAATGTACAAAATTCTGATTTTTATGAAAATTGTTGAACTAAAAGTTGTTTGCGATATCGATCTCTATAATTTTTATTTATACATGATTTTTCTAAAATGGACCGTAATGAAAAAATTGTAGGAAATTAAATTTTTTTAGTATTTTCGTTTTCAATGGATATCTATAGAAAAATGTTTCGAGGTAGATGTATGTGGACAATGTATATATTTAGTTTATCCTCTAAACATTTATAGAGATGCTGCAATAGGTTGTACAAAATAATCGGAAAAAGCCCATAATAACTAGATAGGAAAGTCATGTGTTGGACACATCAGATTTTTTATTTACCACTTTGCTTTTAGATGTTTTGACCTTTTCGATTAATTCCAAGTATTGAGGTTTTGTGAGAATTTGTGTATTCTGACCTTTTGATGAACACAATTCATTCAGCCGTTCGTCGAAACGATTTTTCATCTCACTTACATTAGTTATTAATAACTGTTTCTGCATTTTATTTTATAGAAAAATCGCTAACACTTAAAACAAAACGATAAAGTCACTTTAAGACAAAATTCATTAAATATTCTTAGCACAATTATTAACAGCCTAGCAAAGAACTGAAAACAATCTAGAACGAGAACTCATTAACGCGCAAGATGGACAAGCGACAAGCCATCAAAAATGGATGCTGATTGGCCAGTGAGAATCACACTATACGCACGTTGCCAAATTGCTTAAAATTAATCAAAGTGCCCAGAAAATAATAGCAGTATTTATAATGACCGGGCAGTGTAATAAATTATTATAGACAAATACAAAATTATTAAATGGCCCGACTGTATTGGGCACTTTATAAATTGCCCGGCCATTATGAATAATACCTGGAATAATCAAATTGCCCGTAACATATATACTAATATCATGGAGGTAAAATAGGGAAGGACATGCAATCCCGTGGTCAAAAGTGTCACCATGTCGATCATATTGATACTAGACTTCCTTCACTTGTGACAGTTTTTATATTAATGTATTGTTTAATCTCATTAGAATTGATAATAGGTATACTTTTATAAACTATTCATCTCAAAAACCTTAAAAGAACAATGGCGTCATGTGCCAAGCGCAATTGCAGAAGTAACGATGGTGTGGAACAAGAAAATTTCAAAAATAAATTTTCTTAGGCAAATATAAACAGTGCACAGTGGTATTAAAATAAAATGTTAATATAGTTTTCAGAATAATTAAATTAAATGGGTTTTTATCAATAACATTAATATATAAATTATAAAAACTACATTCTAAATTGACATAAAACATTTATATATCTACGTAATAAATGCAATATTATTCATGTATTGCAGATTTCCACGGGATCCAAAAAAACGAAATAGGATACATTTCGAGGGTCACAGTGCAGTATCTCGTATATTTTTTACATGATTTTAAGAAAAATTATAAAAACACAATTTTTCATAAATTTTTCCTTTTTACTTTCCTATCTGTATACAGATATAAGGAAAGTATAGGAATCATGATTTTTTTCGACGGATTTTTACGTTTTGAGGTCCCCTGAATTCGTTTTGACTATTTTTGCGATGATGTCTGTCTGTGTGTGTGTGTGTGTGTGTGTGTGTGCGCGCGTCCGTGCGTGCGTGTGTGTGTGTGTGTGTGTGTGTGTGTGTGTGTGTGTGTGTGTGTGTGTGTGTGTCTTTATAACGCATAACTCATGAACCGATACACATAAAAACACCAAATTTTAAACTTAAGCTTTGTTTTAGCGTCCAATGAGCTGATTAGATTTTGGGCAGAGTCGGAAAATCTGGGGGGGTACTTTATGGGTGGTCATTTTTATATTTTATGGAATATATATGTTATTTACGTTTGGAGAAGAAAATTCTTTAAATAAAAGTTACTTCTAATATAATTATCTATAATTTTTGTTTTATGCAAAATTTTCCTAAAATGGTCCGTATTCGAGAAATTTGACAAAATGTAAAAAAAATAATTTTTTATAAAAATTGTTCAAATAAAAGTTGTTTGTAATATAATTTTCTATAATTTTTATTTTATACATAATTTCTCTAAAATGGACCGTATTTGAGATATTTGAGAAAATGTGTAAATTTCGAATTTTGAAGAAAACTCAAAAACGGATAAAGAAAAAAACATTCAATTTTAAACTTAAAGTTTATTTCGGCCTAACGTGAAATGATTAGATTTTGGACATAGTCGGAACATCTGGGGGTGTACTTTATGGGAGGCCACCTTTATGTTTTATGGAATATATCTGTTATTAATGTTTGGAGAAAAAAATTGTTTAAATAAAAGTTACTTCTAATATTATTATCTATAATTTTTGTTTTATGTAAAAATTTCCTGAAATGGTCCGTATTCGATAAATTTGACAAAATGTGCAAAATTCTGATTTTTATGAAAGTTTTTGAAATAAAAGTTGTTTGCGATATCGATCTCTATAATTTTTGTTCATACATGATTTTTCTAAAATGGACCGTAATGAAAAAATTGTAGGAAATTTAAATTTTTCAGTATTTTCGTTTTCCATGAATATCTATAGAAAAATGTTTCGAGGTAGATGTATGTGGACAATGTATATATTTAGTTTATCCTCTAAACATTTATAGAGATGCTGCAATAGGTTGTACAAAATAACCGGAAAAAGCCTATAATAACTAGATAGGAAAGTCATGTGTTGGACACATCAGATTTTTATACTTGAGGATTATTACTTAGAGCCTAAATATCAATATATTATTATCGAAATTAAATAGTTTAAATTATTTTGGGTAAATAGCAAATACTGTTCTGTTCATATTGACTGTAAATAACTAAAATGCAAAATAAAAACTTACGAGGTCCTGCACTGTGACCCTTGATTTGGTAAATAGAGGTTCTTGGGTATTTACAAAATAATGTAAAAAGTAATCTGAATCATGCTAGTCCACAGCATTATTAATGGACCCCATGATGGGTACTATACTCTAAAATGGATATTATAGCCAGTGACTCATAATTAGCTTCGTGGCTTGCCAAGAGCGGCAAGGGTAGAGAGAAGGAAATTCCAGTAGCGGATACAATTTCATTTTAAATAAAATCGTTATTTAGGGATTTATTCAACATGATATTTGTAAAATGATAATTATCCTGTAAGCTTTTCGGGTTTTTCCAAAGTAGGTCAGTGAACCTAGGACTCACCTAGGCTGCTGTTACCTGAATCTACGTTTGATCCGGATCCGAAGTAACACATAACCCCACTTTTCAACCGCATTTATTAGTTTTCCAATATTATTGTCCGAGTAAAGTCAAATCGCCAGGTATAGTTTTAAAAAAGTGTCAGGAGTGTAACCCCGTGCATGGGGGAGCCCTCAAGGGCAGCCATACCGTCGGGTAAACCGACAAACGCCGCGAAAATCGCGGAACCCAAATCCGAACTCTCTGAACGCCTCTCGAGTCGGGTAAAAGCGTATAACAAGCTTATACAAGAAGGCCCCGAAAGTTATATACGCAACCCTAATATTTTAAGAAATAGAAAAAGGATTATAATATCGAACAGCATAAAACCCGTAAGTACTGAGGACCTAACCAATAACTAAGGTGAAAAGTCCAGTACTGTAGGAGACCCACGGCAAACATTTTTAAATCCCAAAAGTATGGAGAAAACTGTACGACAAATCAGTCTCCCAAAAGACCGTAGACACAGCACCGGCAAATCACCCAAAAGCTCCATCACGGCACAAACCACTTCTCGAGCCGAAAAGTCGACTACAAATAAAAGTCTCGAAAGTATGGAGAACGCACACAGCGACAGCGGGCAGGCCAGTAGCCAAAAAAGTATGAAGAACGCGTTCCACTTACTTTCGAAAGGCCAAGAAACCGGCGATTCAAAACCGAGCGAGGACAGTGAAATGGATGCAGAAAGCTCCGATAACTGCTCGATCGAAGAAAACAATACCCACACGGTCAAAATAGTTAGGAGAAACTCGCCAAAAGGCCCAAAAACCGATTCATCCGAAAGTTCGGAGAACGAAAGCAGCGATCAGCAATCCAATCGCGCGGACGAGCCCAAAAGCATCGAGCAACAATATCTCGATAGCACAGATAAAGATAAACACGAATACACCGAAGTTGCCAAATCTAGAGAATTTCTAGAAAGTATGGAGAAAGCTAAAAATCGTGAAAGTAAGGAGAAAGATGAAAATCACGAAAGTATGGAGAATTTCAAAAAATTTAAATTTACCCCAAGATATTTAAGCCACGAATACAAAAAGACCAAAGACAATTTCGTGTCAGAATACGTGTCAATCTCCTCAGCCGAAGGGTTAAAAATAACCATTAAACAGAGCGATGTACCACAGGCGCTGAAACAAAATATTTTGGCGTATAACAGCGGACAAGATCTCTCAGGAGAAGAAAATCAAACACCCAGGCTCAACCAAATAGTAGTCACACCCATAATCCACCCTCTACCTGACCAACCAACAGAATTAATCCTCCCAGATGGCAGAACCCAACCTCTTCCCCCAAAACCCACAGTATACAAGCCCAGAAAAAAAAACAAACCTTCTACCCGCTATTGAAAAATCACCCCCACCACTACATACCTCCCCTAATAGCACATTCCCGCTACAAAGGAATAAGAAAAATGCAGAAATGAGAGAGCAGAATAGGATAGATGTAATATCGCCAGATGAGAATATGGACACTCAGGATTTTATTTCACCCCCTAATATGAATGGGCACCTAAAAAGGATGATGAAACAAAAAGTCATCGCTTCACTCCCCAAACCTGTAGAAATCAGAAACAGATTCCAAGTTCTTACAGAATCTGAAAAAGAACAAGACGAAGAAATCCTAAAAAGAGGGAAATGGCAAGGAGAGAAAGAAGGGAGAAAGCAGAAAGCCAAAGAAAGAGCTCAACGGCTGATAAAAAGACAGAAAACTCAAATAATAAAAAAGACACTACTCAAATAAAAAAGAATTACATGTCACCCATAGTCATGGACGGAGTGCCAAAAGACCATCAGGGGCTCACGAGTGTTCTCCGAGAAATAATCGAAGGTAATTTCAACCTCAAATACACCAATAATTCTACAATTGTATTTACTGAGGAAAAAAAGGACTATGATAACGTCATTAAAAATATCAAAAATGAAGAAATGTCATTTCACACATACACCAGCAAAACCAATAAGTCCCACGCATTCGTGCTGCGTGGATTTGGAGACGGCAAAAAAATTGACGATCTTGAAGAGGACCTGATGCACAATTACGAGATTAAGACCAGAGCAATTTACAGAATGACCACCAGAAACAGGCCCCTATTCCTGGTAATAACCGATCCTTCAATAAAGCTCAAATATCTCAACAGAAATGTCAGGGTGGTGCTTTACACCCGTATAACGTGGGAGTTAAGAAGATCAACAAAGCAAATCATTCAGTACCACAATTGCCAGGCGTGGGGGCATGCCACGTCCAACTGTGGAAAACAGCCAAACTGCTTGAAATGTGCATTAGGCCATCACACAAGGACATGTGTCAAATCCCGTGACACACCAGCGACTTGCATAATCTGCCGAGGCGACCACCCTGCCAACTTCACAAAATGTAAGTCCTACCCGAGAGGGTGTCAAGACTCGAAGAGAAAAAATCAACTAATAACAAAATCAGCCCTAAAAAATACATACCCGCATCCCTACCTTCCAGAACTAGGTGGGAAACCAGGAGAGATGCTAACAACAACGCAGGAAGATACAATACGGAGTTCCCTCTCCTACCGGGCAATACGGAGTTCCCTCTCCTACCGGGCAAACGAGATGAACCACCACCAACAGCTAGACAACAAGAAAGCATAAGACAAACAAATAAACCACAGAACGCATCACAGGGAGGTATGGATGACATATTCGCTTTAAATCAAGAAATGCAAGAATTAAATTCAATTGTCAATATAGCAGAATTAACTTGCGCGGTAAGGGAGCTTAACTCCAAACTCAGGGAATGCCGCAGCGAAGCTTCTATTTTTCTTACTTACAACAGCTTTATAAACAACCTAAATACTTACAGCTTCAGGAATTGAATTCGCTGCGGTTTACCGAGATAAGTACAAAATCTGTTTTTACAATGTAAACGGGCTGCTAAACAAGATTCATCTTGTAAGCAACATCATATATAAACATAAATTTGACATCATAGTATTATCTGAAACACATTTGAAACCAATCCACAAAATAAAAGTGCGTGACTACGACATACACAGACAGGACAGACCAGACCAGACCGGAGGGAGGGCGTGGCTTTCATTATAAAACGGTCCATCCCACATGTAGTTGTCACGAGTGTTTTCTCTAGTATAAAACACGCTATTATAAAAATTGGGGGGATAACTTTCATAGGGGTTTATAATAAACCACTAAACCATTTTAATAATATAGATTTACACAACCTTATGGCCTCAGGGATAAAGTCATCTTAATGGGAGACCTGAATGCTAAAAATAAAGAATGGGACTCCAACTGTCGCAAAAACAATAAAAACAAAATGAATACGAAATCCACTACACCGAGGAAACCACGTGCTTCCCCTTTAGTGGACAAACGCCTAGCACAATTGACATTGCCATGACTAAAAACATTGACAGTGTACATAAAATCGTGACAATTACATCACTTAACTCGGACCACGACCCAGTTTACTTAGAATTAAGAACAAAAAGAAACATACAAAGATACAACGGACAATATTATGACCATAAGACAACAAACTGGGCAAAATACAGGGAACTATTGGACAAAAACACTGTAATAAACAATAACATCACGACAACGACAGACCTAGACAACGAAGTTGACAAATTCACAAGGGATCAAACGACAGCCATCAAACACATAAAAATACAACACCTCACAACATAAATACAAGACATGATTATCAATAAAAATAACATACGTAAGAGATAGCAAAGAAATAGAGAAAGCGATGACAAACTCTTAGACATTTCTCCTGCCTAGGCTGGAGAACAGTGGCGAAGATTTCGAAAGACGTACATATATGTAGATGTGAAATATTATTTTGTAAATACTGTAAATAAACATCTTTATTCATTCATTCATTCCAAAGTAGGTAAAAAATAAATTGAAGGATTCAAAATTTAATTATTCTAGGAATTAATTCCTGCAGTGTAGGACAGAGAAAACAGGATGTAATGCTATGGGTAATCCCATTAACTATTCTAAGAACCCTTTTACCGAAATTAAGAACCGTAGAGTACTTATAACCAATTTCAAATCATTGCATTTAATCCATTTTATTTAGTTTGGGATTTCTGAAATTATAGTATGTGTCAATGTATCCTGTGGTGAAAAAGGATTTCTCTGTGAAAAATTAAAGTTTAATATTTTTGCAAAAATGATCAGAGATTTGGATTATATAATCGTATTAAAGGGATATTCGAAGTCACTAAAGCTTAGCATAAATCTTCATTAAAAATAGCTTGTTTACTTCTAGACGATCCAGATTCTAAATATTGTTTCAAGGGAAGTTGACTTTGTCTGCGAGTGTCTTTAGAGTTCTGCTTTGCTATATGTGAGGGTTTTTTCGCGTGTTGGTCGATTTGAAAGTTTTTTTACATGGAATCTAAAACAAATAAATTCCTGTAGATGCTAAGGTTTTAATTAAATTAAATAAATGCGTACGTTGTAAAGTTGCCCTACTTTTTTTTAACTGTGAGTTGAAATAATATTTTACTGTCGTTCGATTTACCATTGTGAAAGGTCAAAATAAAATATAAAATAAAAAAGTACTTAAAATTTTAGAACATGTTTTACAAAACACCTGCTTATCACCTTCTACAACAAAATCTAATAAGATTTTACCCACGACTTAATTAATTTTGCCATTTTTTCCACTGGTTAACACAACACAACAATAAAGACTGAAATGAAGTTGAAAGTAAACTGAGTCATTTAGAAATTTGAAGATATTAATACAACTACCTGAAAGGATATTTAGCAAAATTTGTTGGTTTAAGTAGGGTGTTTATAATGTAATCCTCTCAAGTACCTACATCATTAACCGTAGTTTATTACAGGGAAAAGTTAATCCTTTAAAATTTTAGGAAATCGACCTGTAAAGGCATTTCACAAAATATTATTTTGGTCCAAAACTCATAATTTTAATATGTACAGCCAATTAGTACGTCAGATATATGCCAAAAAATTAACAAAATATCAATATAGGCATTCAAAATCAAAAATAGTATATATATTGTAATGATAACACCCTATATTAAAATATAATAAAACTAAAAATAATAACATTACTAATAATAATAACTATAATATAATAATAATAATAATAATAACATTAATAAATAAAAATAATGTAGGAAGATGTACCCTGTATATTAAAATTGGTATAAGAGTCATAAGTGAAGACTTTGGGGAAGTAGGTAGAGAGGATGGTTTCTAGATTTGGGAATGATGGATTTGTCAATTTTGAAAATTAAAAAAATAAAATGTCAAAGATTTTTGGAAGAAAAATGTAGTTTTGGACAAATAGGGAAAAACTTATCTATGAGACAAGTAAAATAGACAAATTTTAATAACCAAATATACAAATATATGCCAGGTACAAAATAGTTAAGAAAAATTAGTGGTAATTTTGTGTTCCGGACAGATACATCTAGGTACATAGAAGCAGCCGAAAAGAGGACATGTAAACCGAAGTGGAGAGAATACTTATGGAAATAGACAATTAATGGATGAACTGTGAGTAACTTTTATGAACTGATTACGATTATAACAAAAAATAATTAACTGTGAGAAGACATTGGTAGTCGGTATTTTTTTATAGAATTTAATTTTAGTAAATAGTTTTGTCGGTATGAATGAAGAGCGAATGGATTTAGAATAATTTTAGTAACATAGGAGATTAGAATCCCCATGAGCATAAATAGCAGGGTATTTTGTTATTTTGAGTTTTAAAATTGTTTCAAATAAATCTTATAAGTTGGTTTGAAAATTTGTTTATTTTATTTTAAAAATGCAGGGTATAAAACAAGTCAAGTCGTAAATTTTTATTTTGTTGATTATTAAAATAAAATTTAAAAAAAAATTATAATTACATTAAAATAGAATTAAAATACAATTGAAATAAAATTAAAAGAAAATTAAAACAAAATTCAAATAGATTACATAAAAATTAAACAGAATAAAAAATATTAATATTATAATTGGAAGCAACCCTGAGATAAAAAAAAATATAAAAAAAAAATACTTTAATTAAAATAAACATAATAAATGGTCAATGTTCGATATCATTACAAATGGCGTCCAACGTGGGGCTATAAAGCTGTCAAACTGACAAGTGTGGGAATAAAATCAAGGAGTGATAATAGTGTTGACTATAACATAAAAAATAAACTTTATTATTATGGAAAAGATGGAAGAAAGCAATAAAGAAAAAAATGAAGAGAAACAGAAAGAAGAAGAAGAACGAAGAACCAGAATTACAATAGGAAAAGAAAGTAGTAAGATTGAAGAGATGAGTGTATCAGAAATGATGAGAGTAATGATGGAAAACATGAATAAATTTGCAGAAAAGATGAATAAAATGGCAGAAAAGATGAATAAAATGGAGAAAAATATTCAAAAAATAGATGACATAAAAGAAGATATGAAAGATTTAAAACCAGTAAAAAAAGAAATGGTTATGAAATTAGAAGAATTCAAGATAGATTTAGAAGATAAAGAAGAAACAAAGAAGAAAATAAATGAAATAGATATAGAAGATATTAAAAATGACGTAAAAATAACAGAGGTTGAAAATTTGCAAGAGAAAATATTTGAAGTATTTAAAAGAAAAGAAACAGAATTTAAAGGAGAAATAAGAGAATAAATAAAGAAAATAGAATTAAATAAGACAGGATGATGTAGAAAGGATGATTAGTTTAGAAAATAAATGGAAGAATACTATTACAAAAATCGATACTAAAATGGAACAGAATGTAAAAAAAATTGAACAAAGGATTATTAAAGGAAATAAGATGGGAACAAGATTTATTAAAAACAAAAGGAGAAATAAAAATAAAGAAAAAAGAATTGCTAAAATAATATGGGAAAAAGTAGGAAGATTAAGAAGAAAAATTAAAAATAGAATTTTGTCTGAAAAGGAAAAGACGAGAAATAAATTTAAAGAGAAGCAGAGATGTTAAAACAAAAGGACAATGAAAAAGAAATATGTGACTAGGATAAGAAAAGGAATATGAGCTTACGAAACATGAATTAATAATTAGTAAATATTTAGAATGGTTTAGTAAAATAACAGATTAGTGAAATTAGAGATAATGAATTAAAGAATTTATTAATAGTGGAATAATAATTGCAGAATAAATGAACAAAATAAAAGATAATAATAATAATAATAATTAATAATAATAATAATAATAATAATAATAATAATAATAATAATAATAATAATAATAATAATAATAATAATAATAATAATAATAATAACAATAATAATAATATTAATAATAATAATAATAATAATAATAATAATAATAATAATAATAATAATAATAATAATAATAATAGTAATAATAATAATAATAATAATAATATTAATAATAATAATAATAATAATAATAATATTAATAATAATAATAATAATAATAATAATAATAATAATAATTAATAATAATAATAATAATAATAATAATAATAATAAGAATAATATTTAATAATAATAATAATAATAATAATAATAATAATAATAATAATAATAATAATAATAATAATAATAATAATAATAATAATAATAATAATAATAATAATAATAATAATAATAATAATAATAATAATAATAATAATAATAATAATAATAATAATAATAATAATAATAATAATAATAATAATAATAATAATAATAATAATAATAATAATAATAATAATAATAATAATAATAATAATAATAATAATAATAATAATAATAATAATAATAATAATAATAATAATTAATAATAATAATAATAATAATTCCACGATTACGAAATACCGTTACGCACACCCCAACAGTGCAGTGGAGCGATTACGATTAACAAGGAAAGAAGGCGGAAGGGGATTACTATCAATAACAAACCTCCACAATACACAAGTTAATAAAATGAGAGAGTACTTTTTTACTCAAGCACAACGATCCAACTTACACCAAGCAATAGTGCGTGCAGATAGTCAGTACACCCCGCTAAACCTTAAAGACCGAGACGATAATAGAAAAATCAAACCGCAGGAAGACTTGATCAGTGAATGGAAAGAAAAACCGTTACATGGAAGATTTCCAACAGACCTTGATGACCAGAATGTCGACAAAAATGCGTCGTACGATTGGTTATGCTGTGGAAATCTATACCCAGAGACGGAAGGCTTTATGATCGCAATTCAAGATCAAGTCATCAGAACACGGTATTATGCGAAACACATCCTAAAAGATCGAACAGTTCCTGATGATCTTTGTAGGAGATGTAAACGTGCAAAAGAAACTATCCACCATATAACAACGGGGTGTCAGTCAATAGTACAAGCAGACTATAAGGTCAGACATGACCAGGTGGCAAAGATAATACACCAGAAAATAGCACTTAATTCCCTATTAACCCAAGAAAACACCCCTTATTATAAATATACTCCTGAAAGGGTCATGGAAAATGACAGTGTTGTATTATACTGGGACAGAACGCTACTTACTGATCGTACTGTTCAAGCAAATAGACCAGATATAACATTAATAAATAAAATGGAAAAATGGGCATTCTTAATAGACGTAGCCGTACCCCATACAAATAACCTCCAGGATACGCATAATACAAAAATAAACAAATATAGGGAACTAGCAGTAGAGATAAAAGAACAATGGGGTCTCAATAAAGTTACAATTTTACCAGCGGTTCTCTCAGCAACAGGAATTATACCAAAATCATTTATAGACACCTTAAATGCATTATCAATGCCAGAAATGATTCGTCCCATCCAAAAGGCTGTCATATTATCCACATGTAATATGACAAGAAAATTCCTAAATATTCAATAACCATTTGATTAACATACTTTCGACTTATTAGCTCTGTCTGCTTAGGTATCAGCCCGCAGACAACTACCAACCACCGGTAAAAGCCGAGAATGAGAAAATAATAATAATAATAATAATAATAATAATAATAATAATAATAATAATAATAATAATAATAATAATATTAATAATAATAATAATAATAATAATAATAATAATAATAATAATAATAATAATAATAATAATAATAATAATAATAATAATAATAATAATAATAATAATAATAATAATAATAATAATAATAATAATAATAATAATAATAATAATAATAATAATAATAATAATAATAATAATAATAATAATAATAATAATAATAATAATAATAATAATAATAATAATAATAATAATAATAATAATAATAATAATAATAATAATAATAATAATAATAATAATAATAATAATAATAATATTAATAATA